CTTTCTAGTGCCTCAGGATTGTTATGCAAAGCTTTCCAAGCAGAGATTGTGGGAGTTCTTTCAAGCACAGATGTATCCAGATCATATTTGTACAATCTCCCGTCGTATTGAGAGATGTAGGTCTGGGCTGAAAGCTCCTGTTATCTTGGGCTGAGGAGCCAGGTGCGAGGCTGTGGCTTCACCTGGGACATATACCACACCTTTGAAACACAGAGCCTCTCTATCTGGAGTCAAACAGTAACTTTAGCTCCTTGTCTCAAATAACTGCTGACAGCTGTTGATCCTCCAGATTCCCTTGAAGATGGTGACCCATCCATAACAATCTTTTGGTTAATGTAAGTTTCTTATAGTTGAGCAGCTATCAATAATATGCCCAATGACAAATTAAAAACAGCCACAGCAGAAAGTAACAGCCTCGATGATGTGTCTTATGCTGGTGAAACAACTGTGGTTTAAAGATACAGCATAAAAAACTACAGCGTGAGATGAAAAGCTCAGGCTGCAGAGTCAAAGAACAAACATGCACTACTGCCATCAAGTGTTGAACTATGAGTACTACCTACAGAGCCTTAAAATAAACACAAGACGTGACTACACAAGGATAACTCATTACAGCTATACCATGCCTTTTCCATTTGTGGTCAGTTTTATGGCTTTTGAACTGTAAACATTGTTCCAAGGAAAAGGAAACACATCACGCTTGTGTTGTGACATTCTTATCTCTCAGAAACTCTGTGGGCTGGTTTACTGCGCTTACATTAAACCTGGTAGTCAATTAACCTCTGGCAAAAAAAAATAAAATAATGCGTTGGTGGAAAAATAAGGACTACACTCTGTTTTATAATGAAAACTGCAGTCTTTATAATAAAATAACAGTGCATGTGCATTTTATTGAGCTGTACTGACTATTAGAAGCACATGTTCTCTCTCTGCAACAGAACAAAATAAAGCTAAAGCTATAATTTCTTATCAATTACACCCATTAAATTTAATTCATTAAAAGTGGATGGAAATGACGAAGACTTTTGAGGGGGATGAAGACGAGCTACTCTTATTATGGACAGAGAAACAGGCATTTACTCTAAACAACATTTGAAAGTGTGAAATTAGGCAGGGCTACTGAAATGTTCACACTAGAACAGTTTACCATGTGTACAAACAAAAACACACACTGGATACTGCTGCCAGTGGCCACACAGACTTCCACTGTGCTCACAGATAGTCGATGGTTGAAAACTATGAGTTCCTCTGATGAATCTTGGTGCGCGTAGGAAACGGGGAACCATGAGGGACTAGGACGACAGAAAGCTATTAACGTTATACATATTTTAGTTTATAGTAGCAATTTAATTTATAATAAATGAGGTGCAAATTTGAGTACACTTTACTTAAGTGCTGTACTTTTGCACGATTTTGTGGTGCACTGATGACTGGCATTTTCTGAGACTCACTCTCGTTAAGGGGAAATACTTGGCAGTAGTAATTGGTAGTAATTACCATCATGTAGTACAAGTTGGTAAAAATCATGGAACAAACAGGGCATGGAGATAACAGGTATTCCTGTGCAGCCGGATGTTGTAGGGAGACGGACTCGGTGCATACTGTATCTGCTCTGCTGCTTTTACTTTCAGCAAATTTCTGTAGAAAACCCTGCACACTTTGTGGAGGGAGACCCGCAATATAAAATGTTGGCATCCACATGTGAGGTCAGCATTTCTCATGTATAGAGTTTTGGTGAGATAAGATTAAATTAAAGATGTGTTGCAACCATATCTGCAAACAAATCTGAATAAAGCGTGATAATAGTCCACACAAACCTGCACAAAATCTCTGTAACGCCTGGTGATCTGATTTTAATGATTGTAATGCCAGTGTCTATATTTAACGGACAAGCAATCACTGGAAATTCTGCATTCTGACCACATTCATATGCAATAAGCTAGCCATGTATAGTGAATGTAAAAAAAAAAAATGAAAAAGAAAACAATCTTAAGAATGTAAAAATGCAATAAATCATTCCCATAATTATGTTTTACAACCAGCACTCAGTTCCAAACACCTCTGTCTTTTTTTTTCCTTCAACAGATTCACCCACTAGTCAGGGAATATTTTTTCAGGACTCTCATGAATGTTACAGCCACATATCATGCTTCCTCAGGCAGTCAACAGTCATGACATGAACTATGTGCAAGCTTCCTCTCACATACAAGTTTCATGGTGAGATAACTGGAGACCTCAGCACCTCAGTCATGTCAGGAAAGCATTTACTTTCCTCATTGCCCCGTAAAGAGAACACACACACACACACACATATATATATATATATATATATATATAAAACACAGTGAAGTCACAAACATGCCCAGTTGTTTGTTTGTCAATCCATTTTCATATGACACATTTGTTCAACTTTCACACTCGAGACAAACACCAATGAGCAGCACTGTCTCTCTCCAACTCGCAGTGAGGTTTGTCTTCCATATGTTAAAATTCATTGCAAACATCTATTTGGTGCAAGAAGATGTCGGTCATTCATAAAATGTTATATTATAAATTTCAACTAGAATTCCTGCCTTGCAGTCGTATGCCTCTGGTTCAAGTCTGACCCGCGGCATTTTGCTGCATGTCATCCTTTCTCTCTCTCCCTGAGTTTCCTGTCTATCTCTCATTATACGGTCCGAATAAAGGCAAAAATGTCCCAAAATATAACTTTAAAAAAACTAAAGAAATTCTCTCAAGGTGTTACCCAGATATTGTGAAGCCTCCAGCCCTGGTTGTTGCCAGTGTGGAGGCATAAAATGCACAAAAGCGAATGAAGAATTAACAAAACTACTAGTCCACAGTGATGGGAAGAAGCTCCCCAAAGGTCATTAGGAATGATGCTCTGGGGACCATGACTGTCTGTACAAATTTTTATGGCAATCCATCAAATAGTGGTGGGCTGACTGACCACCAGACCAATACAGAGCCATGCCACTAACATGACTAAAAACCAGTTTTGTTTGATTCACTCCTAGTGCAGTAAGAGGAAGGAGAGCTGGTTCTAATTGGGATGGGGAGATAGGCTGTAACCTTATCTGCAGAAAACTGCTGTGTGCTGCATTATTTCATCTCCTCGTGTGCCCTAAAAAATATGACAAAAACATCAGAGAATGGAAAAAGCATGACCTCAGACTTTGTAACCTGGCAGATATAATCCAATCATTCTGCCGAGGGCCTAACTCGTGTTTAACGCCAGTCTATACATCATACTGTATATCTAATTTAAGGCTGAGCTGACTGGTCTTTGAAGAGGCAGTTTTGAAATCACATTCCAGTTTCCCCTCCCAAACAGCAAATTATTTTTACTCCCATGAGACGTGTGATTTCGGACTCAGAGTTGGAGCAAATCACTTGCAGACTACTTCATGAGGAGCTTATTAATCTGAGACAAGGGGTCCGGGATTCAAGTTGAAGTATAAACGACTTCATCATCAATGGACAACGTAAAAAAAAAAAAAAAAAGCTTTGACTGTAGAGTATGTGCTCGGTTCCACCTCAACAACATCAACATACGTTCAGAGTCAGGTTTGACGCCAGATACCAAAAGCTACAGCAAAAATGTGCCCCATAATTGGTAACAGTCTCTGAATGTATGTAAGCAAGGTAGGCTGTAATTAATCCCAGCACAATGAGGATCCTCTGCGGAGCCTGCTCATGTATTTGTTGTTGGACGTCACCGCAGGGCCACTCTGGAGCCCATCAGATATAGTGTCTAAATACACAGCAATCAGACGGTTTTTTTTTTTGGTTTTTTTTCTAAAACGTCTCCCACCAATGCCTCAGCAACAATTACAAAAGGTTATCAAGGGGCATCTACCACCAGAATCTGACCTACATGAACCCACCCTCATTTCCCCCAAAACGTGCCTCAGCGGCTTATTTCTTCCTCGTTAAATTCCCTGAATCAGGTTATTTAGATTACGATGGCCTGCAGTCCTCTGTGACAGCTGGAAGAGAGATGATGGGAAAGGCAATTTGGAAAGATGCTGAATGTAGCTGGCACTTCTTATCTACCACATATTAGCGAAGCTGAGAAATGGTATTTGCCATGTTGCATTAGCCTGCTGCCATCCCATCATCGCCTGCCGTTCCCAGCAACAACATGATCCAAATGCAGTCCAGATGTCTCAACCATCGAGCTTCAATATTTCACTACCTCTGCATTAATCTTATCAAGTGTGTCACAGATCTCTGCTTGATAACATCTAACAGGGTTTTAGAAACTCGAGGTCTGCAGCTGACCATAGCTTCACTACAAACTGAAATTGATATCACTTTGCAGAGTTATTTTGCACATGAAAGAACTAAATAAGTTGGAACTCTAGTTTGCATCTTTTGAATAATCAGAAAATAGTGAAATAATTCTTACATGGGAAACTAGGTCTTGCTTTATGTGGATCTACAGACAAAGACATCAAAATGTCAACACACCACAGTTTACCTTATAAATATAAGGTTATAGAGAGTAAAGGTTTATAGGTTTATAAACCTAGGTTTATAGAAATAGGTTTATAGAAAGTAGATCATGTTTGAGGGGCAGTTTTCACGTGCACTCACTACGATATTTCATTGTCCACATGTGGAAAGCTATAAAGTACATAAGAACACAAATGCTGGAGTTCAGCACTATTTTGTGGTGCACTGAGTTAATTTTTTTTTAAGACTTGACACTCTGACTCTATTTCAGCATGTGCATTGTCACATTACTACACAGTTTCTCTCATCAAAATTAACATTTAGATGGTGGCATATGGATGAAGTAATGTAAACACTTAATTAAATGAATTAATGAAAGGTGAAACACTTAGACACGGTAACAATGCTCCTGATGTTCTCATCAGTGATCTTATTATTGCAGAGAGAATATCTCTTACAGATGAGGTACTTCACCGTGTCTGTAATTCGGAAGAAAACACTGCATTGTCAGCTGACTTCACACAAACGCAACCATTTGGGCAATCAGATGTGTTTATTCAGTTCTGTTACACATTCTGTAATAATTAAAATCCGACACAACTATCTGCAGGCTCACGTCTACTTTCGAGACAAAGCCGTAAGCAGTCTCCATTGTGTCAAAACAGTCTGCTCCACCTGTCGATGAGCTTTGAGTGCATGTAAATATTAACACACTAAAATAGAAATTTGAATGTACAATACTCTCAGGCTCAGAAAGTAACAACATCACCAGTTTCAGTAAACTGAGAAGAAGTGTTTCCCTCCTAACACATGTTTCAAATTTAGCATTCAAGACCACAGATATTATTATTGCTGCCGGACACTGAAACAGCTGATCCCAATATGAACTGAATGACAATTAAGCAAGCTAGTGTCTCAACCTGCCATTCAACATCCTGAGTCTGGGATACCAACTATGCCTTCACACCAAGCAAAGGCCCTTTTCCTCTGTTAAGAATTCCTGTCCTTGGAGTGAAAACCTGTTTGATGGGTCCAGATTGCGAGGTCCAAAGCCCGTTTCCCTCAGGGCCAAGGTCACACTGGTTTCCCCAGCTCTGGCCTTCCAGGATCAGTCTTCCTCTGAGGAGAGCTGGGCTCCTTCATCGTGAACCTCTCTGTAGGCAGCCATGGGGCCACCGTCAGGAGTGTAGCTCCCCATAGAGATCTTCAATCCCTCAGACAGTTTCTGGGCTGCCAGCTTGGCCTGCAACTCCTGAAATTAAACACAACACAGAGAAAAAGTTGACATGAATAGGCTGGTAAACAGTAAACAAGCACATTATTATAAAGCAGCACAGCCATAGCTATTAAACCCTCAACAAAAGTAGGACTGATACTAAGCTTAACAGGCCTCTGTAAATTGACAACAGCACACTGTTTGACATTTGGCTCTGTAATCAGTACTTTGGATGTGAAGTGATACACAGTGCCTACACTGCCTCAACGCTGCCCTCTAGAGCTTATGGAGTAGACCTGATGCAGACTTAAGATTCACACTTGGATTAATTATTGTTTAATTCCAAAATTGATTAGATGAGAAAATGTCACAAGTTACCATTGTATAAACTCAATTTGTTTGTATCCAGATGCTATAATAACACCAAACTCACTCCTGCCAAATACATTAGTTTGCTGTAATAATGTTTCAATAGAAATACAATCATTTTAATGATAAGAGTTGTTATTTACATCTATTACACTGCACATTATGATTGTGATTGGAATAACACAGCACCAAGATGAATAAAGAAGACTGGCAAATAATACTGGTGCTCAAATTAATCTTCAAAAAAACAAATCTTTGTTTAGTTTGCTTATTTATTTATTTTTACAGAAACAGAGTCGCATTGTGTTTTCTGTATAAAATGAAGACTGTGTTCACAACTCCTTTAGCAGTGTGTGAAAAGACACAGCCATCTCATTCAGCCAAATCAAGCCAATTCAGTTGGTGTTGGACTACAATGCAGCAAATGCACATTTCTGGTAGATCAATACTGTCACCTCAACATGTTACCACTCATCATGGTGAAGAAGCCCTGGCTGGCTCTGGCTGACAGTCTGCCTACAGTTCAGTGTATACACTGCATGTATAAGATAAGTGTGTAGAGGGCTCGGCTGCACTAACCTGCTGCTTCTTGGTTTGTTCCTTCATGAGGACAGCCGACTCGTCCAGAGACAGAAGCTGGGCGGGGTTGTGTTGGAGAGGAGGGAGTTTGGCTGCGGTGATGTCGTCCAGGTGTTTTCTGTCCCGCTCCTTCCTGGCCTGTGCAGAGAGCGGCGATGAGCCGTCAGAAGACTGGCTGGGTGACGAGGATCCTGATGGAGAAATGTCAGTTCTGTGGGACAGCCTGGAAACACCCGTGAGAAGATGTTATTTACAATCAAACAACTGAGAAGAACTATGAAATAAAGCCAAATGAGACACAATGACACACATTGTTACTGAATGAAATGAACACCATCACCTAAGTACTTTTTGTTCTAAATGTCTACAAAAGTAATCATCACATCATCAAACAAAGCCCACTCACTGATTTGGTTTGAATTTCTGCCTCCTGGGAGCTGAAGTCTTCTCTGTTTTTTCCAGGACAGTTACATAGTGAGGCTTTTTTGGTGTCTGCTCTCTGAGAAAGTAATTGTCTCTTGCCATGCTGTTTAATAGGTCTTTGGACTCGCTACTGAAACCAGTACTAGTTTCAGACAGTCTGACCCTCTCCAAGGCCTCCACAAGGTCACCCTCTTTTGTCTCATCAGAGTTCAGAGAGGCCCCAGCAGCAGCCGTCTCCATGGTTTCACCAGCAGCCGCTCTGAAGACAAACTGGTCCTGTTGCTCGTCCAAAGTAGTGTTTTCCTGCACATGAGCTGAGACAGGTGACGTTCCCCTCTCTTGTACCACATCACCTGCAGCAGCCGCACTTTGCCTGTTTTGGCGTGAGGCTGCTGGTGTGTTGGGGATAGCATGTTTTTGCATAGTGAAAGCCTGCTGGTACTTGGACTGTAACTCTGCCCTGGCAGCAGACACCAAACTCCGTCTCCTCTTCTCTTCATCATGTTGCTCAATGGCAAGACGCACTTTCTCTGCAAACTCTGATATCTTTTTCCCTTTGTCAGGAAGAGACTGCAATAACCTCCTGAAAACAACACAAATCATCACTTCATGGTAGACTCAAAACAACATTTAAAGATACAAGACGGTAGACATTAAACAAGTCAACCAACATTAGATATAGACAGAGAGATTATTTTACAGGTCTCTTGAACTCTACTGGAGGGGTAAACACCATTCTTCCAAAAAGTTATTCTCTAATGTGGTGTATTGATGATGGTGGTGGAATCACTCCAAACTCTCCCATAGGTGTTCAGTTGGGTTGGAATCTGGTGACAGTGAAGCCCATTGCATTTGCTTCACATCATTTTCATATTCAGGAAACAATCCACTGACCCTGTATGACAGGATCTGAATTTATGTTTCTATACTCTTTTATTCAGCCTTTTCTTTTTCACCCATCTGTATTTTGGCTTAAATAATTTCACATGGCACATCCAACATTCAAATGATTGTATAAACATACTAGTATTATTTATTACTGCTGTATAACCATAATAGTTGAATTATGTTCATCACAGTCTGTCCCTTCCATTGTAAAAAAAAAAATATATATATATCATGATTGACATATTAGTGACATTTGAAGCTGCCTTGGATGCTGACATATACAGTACTGAAGAAGTATAAAAATCCAACGTTAAATGACAACGTTATGGTATATTCTGAGGTTGGAGATTGTCTCCAACCTCAGAATATGCCAGGATTATGGAATTTATGGACATGACATTGAACTGTGTGAAGGAGCATTTGTCTGGGCCACGACACACCTGAATGACAGGACTACTTGTTCCCATTCAGAGATATTGATGAGGAAGATTTTGACACTGACAAATATTGTGTGGCAGATTAATTGAATGGACTATATAGAAACTGTGAAAATTTGGACCTAAAATAAAATGCATGAATTTGAAAACGCTATTGACCCAGAAAACAACTTCTACAATAACATTCACATAAGTTGTAAGTATGAAACGTCTATGAAACAAGGAGTACTTTCATGTAGGAAATTCAACAGGTTCAATGTAAGTGCCGTATCTGAGACTGAATTCAGTGGAGGGAGATTTGAAAACTTTGAAAAGACAAGACTAACAAGTTATCATTTCATTCAAGTAAGACAAAGTATATAATATTCAATTCAAAAAACAAGTTTAAATCAGGTTCAACGACTATGAAATAGGAAGACTGTATGAAAATTAATTTCTGGGCGTCATTGACCATAAACTATGCTGGCACTCACAGATAAATAGTCTTCTTGTTTAATGTGGGGCAACGACAAGAAAACAAGAAAGACTATTTATCTGTGAGCGCCGAATTCTGCGGTGACTGTATTATAAGTGTTTGGAGTTGTGCATGCTGCTACTGTCTACCAGATGACCATGAATTATGTTGGCTGCCACACATAAATATTGTCTAAAGCAAAATGTTTTCCATGTACATTTTGAAGAAAGAAATTAATGATCAGAGGTGTAAAAACATTAAACAGTTTGTGCAAGAGTACCTACAGTGTATTGTACTCATTTTGCAGTATGGTGGTATCAGCTCTGCACCATGAACATAGTAAACCTTTATATTACTTTTCTCTAAGAAACATTTTTGCCATCAGTTGGTCCAAAACGGTCTGAGACAAACTTCATATTACTGAACACAGAGGTGATTTGCTCACTTATAGCTGTGCTGTGTAAAACCTCAGACACAGCCTGTAGTGAACTGACGGAAGACAGTGCAGATTATTAGTTCAGTCACGGTGGAGCAGCTCTCATTACAACAAACTTATTTGTGTGTTAGTCACCATGTTTGTGTCTGTGACAGTAGCTGCGTGCCAGGAAGTGCCACAGTGAGTCATGCCTCCAGTTTCTGCCTCTCATGTATGATAGATGAGCATGAAAGATACAAACTGAGGCTAACATCGTGGACTTACTTGTTTGAGAGTATCTTTTCCTGTCGGAGCAGCAGTTCTTGGAGCTCTTCTTTGCTCTGGTTTCTCAGGTCTCCCACCTGTCCCTGGCTCTCTGTCCATGACGAGGACATCACTGTTAGCTACTGACAGCTAGCTACAGCCATCCACAAGCAGCAGGAGCTAATGTCTTACTTTAACATGCAACATAAAAACTCAGGTTACACGTTTACCCGGCTCAAGCCACCGCCAGCTCACCGGCTCTTTGGTGGTTAGAGAGCTTTAGAAAACCTCTTCAAGGCGGAAGATTTACTTCTTCAACATTTCAAAGTGTGGGTCTTCTTCTGGAGCGGAAATCAAACATGAGAAGGGGAGCTCTGTCGCCCCCCTTTGCACAGGATGGTGTAATGCACCGCTTCTTCCTGTCGCCCAATGAAGGTGATTTGCTGCCCTCTTCGGGTCAAACGTAGTCATCAGCAGCAGATTGTGGCCCTTCTTTGTTTACAGTAAGATATTTCTGTCCTCTCTGTAATCAATGCGGCCAGTATGAACAGGCTTCACAGTCTCAGATTTTCCACAGCTGCATTTCCCTGCCGGATGTTTCCCAGCCACCATGCCAACTCATTTATCAGCTCAACAGACAATGACCCAGATCAACCAGGGAGGTTACAGCTGTGTCCTTAATGCCCCCTCTCAGAGTTCAAAGTCGGTTTAACTTTCGGCTGCGGCTGCACAGTTGGAACAAAATTTCAGTAGACTGAGAATGTCATGTGCATCTCTACCAAAACATGTAAAACATTGATGACCTCCTTACATTTTGCACTTTTCTTCACATGTGCACATTCTCCATAGTATCAACCTCCATCCATGCAGTAAAAACAAGTATATTGTGTGAACTTCATAATACTACCATTGGAAGCACAAGATTAACTGTACAATATCACTGACTGTGACACAAATGTCTAATTTTACAACTTTGTTTCACTGTTATCTGTTACACATAACTTTGGGGAGATTTTTTGTGAATCTTCACATTTTTTTTGCAATGTCAGTGATATCAGTAAATACTCAAACACCATGTCCTGCCTGACTGAGTGAGTCTACGCTGCACATCTTTCAAAGATTACAACAACAAATACGATTTTGTTTAGTGAAACAGCTGAATTTTAACTAGGCAACTACAGATTTGCATTGCGAAGCCTGTGCACATCATTTCCTGTAAAAAGCAATGAACAATAGCTCTGCAGACACATGATCTGAATATTATTCACAGGACACGTGCTCAAAATACAGTTAGTGACATCTTTTGCATATTTACTGAACATGAAGTTCAGTGCCTATGCATGACATTTATGCAAAAGTGTGAAAGTTAAACATCTGAAATGGAAACCGTACAAACCAGTTATTAAAAAAAAGAAGCCTTTTTGTGTTTCTTACCAGACAAGTCATATATAAGCTTCATGCTTCTGTATGAAGTTGTATGTAGGTTGGGGCATCCACTAACACAGTCAGGATGCTTGTACAGTAAAGTCTTTATTAGCCAATCATTATGCTGGCCTCTTTTCATTAGTTGCAGTTTGATATGTAATGTTAAGGAAAAGGCACATCATTAAGCATTTTCAAATCACAGTTGTGGCAGTGCAGACAACAGCTGGATAATACTTGTGCCTGTGGCTCAGGAATGGCAGTCACCTCATTAAGGTTAATATCTTCAAAGTAAATTAACAATTTTGTCATTATCACAGAAATTAAGTTTACATTATAATATTATATTACCCTGTTGCCAATTCAAAGAGATTCATTCCCACCACCAGTATCAGATGGTAGGCTCACAAAGGCACAAAGCATGTTAATAAATATTTTGTACATAATGTGACAATAACAAAATAATATATCATATGTTTTGTACAGAGCCAATATAAAATGTTAAATACAATAGCCTTATCAACCTTCATATAGGGCTGAATGCTCATAGCTCCATGAGCAACATAAGTAGGCTACATTCACTGTAAACAAAACAAATAAAATTCTTCAGTACATTATTAACAAAATATTTTTTTTTACAGAGCATCAGATTATTTACCCTTCAACATTTTATTATATTTAACAGTGATGTGCAAACATAGAATCAGAATAGAATAAAAAAACCTACATAAGACTTCATCATTGACCATATTCTACATGAGACTGTACATGACAGAAAAATTACTATTATAATGTGTCAACTTCTGACTGTTTAAGATATGAGATCTGTGTTGGTGGAATTTAAAAAGACCACCAGCAGTGAAAATAATACCAAACATGACTGAGTTTTTAAAGGAATAATTCAACACTTTAAGGATTAGCCTGCTTTATTGCCAAGGGTTAGAAGAGAGGATCAACACCACTCTCATCACTGCGCGGTAAATGTGTAAGTTACAGCTAGTTTTAACTGGAGGAACTGTACGCTCATGACGCACAGCTTAGCATTATGCTAAGCCAACTGCAGCTACATATGACTTATCTTAGCATAAAGACAGGAGGGAAAAGACTACCCTGTTCAGTTCTGGCCAAAGGTCATGAGTCAACAAACTCCTTTTGTAATCAATACAAAAACTGAAGTGTAAAAACTTTTTGTCATATGATGGGGGTTGCGGACTGGACTATTTCTTGGCTGTGAGCAGTGATTTTCACTGGCTGCCATGCAGTTGTTCCTTTAACTTCTGTAATATTCTGAATTTTACCCTTTGCTTCTCCCACTAGGGCAGATTTCATTACTTTCGGACATAGCTGTTTGCTCCTGTTTTCAGCATTTATGCTAAGCTAAGATAAATGGCTGCTGATCTTAGCAGCATGATTACAATAAAAAAAAATGGGAGTGGTATTAATCTTCTCATGTAACTCTTGGCAAGAAAGAGAGTGTAATGTATTTCCCAAAATGTCTGAAATGTCTATTGCTAGATCTATTGCTTTAAGATGAGTCTATGTTTATGTTTGCTGTTAGTTCCATAAGTTTCATGAACGGTGTATAAACTTGAGGTGCTCTCGATCTCGGTTGAGAGGAGAATGGGGCTAAAGGTGATTCTTCCGGACTTGAGTATGCGTTTTTGTTTGTTTCTGTGTCCACCTCGTCTCTCCTCGACTGGACCGGGCTCAAAGGAGGTTCAGGTTCAGTCTGATGGGTGTAGGGAGACGTCCCACTCGGTACTGAGGGTTTGGACTGCAGGAAGCGGCTGTATTCAACAGGAGTGTACTTCAGTAAACTAGACTCCAGCCTGCTGGGTGGAGGGTTATTAGACCTTATTGTCCTTGTTTGGGTGACCGATGTCAGGTAGAGGAATGGATGCTGAATGGGAGATGGGGGGATTAAAGGTTGGGAGAGGGATGGAGGTTCTGTAGAAGGTGAGAGTTGTAAGGGCGATGGAAGCTGAGTGCGTGATAGAGGTTCAGTGGGTGATAGTGGTTGTGTGGGTGATAGAGGTTGTGTGGGTGATGAAGGTTTCATTGGTGATGGAGGCTGAACGGGTTGTGGGGGTTGTATGGGATGGAGATGAGACGGTTCACACTCAACAGGAGTTTCAACATCATGCCTCTGTGCCTCATGTCTGCAGATGCACAGTCAGACATCAGAATGAGAAACCACCTCCAAGCAAAGCGCAAAATATAACCTGATGCCACTAAATATATTTATCCAACTATGCTTCTTACCTGGGGAGCAGATCACAGCCTACTCCTATCTCTCTGGTTTCCAAAGCCTCTTGCTGCCTACTCTGTGTGGACACAAAATACTTCAGCTTGTCTTCTAATTCATTATTCTAGGAAAAGGAAAACAGGAAACAACACTGTCAGGTCAGATACATGCAAAGGACTGCCGTCACTTCACGTGTGAAAGTGACTTGATAGCTGCAGTGATAAAAGAAAACCACACAGACATTGTTGAAAGAATCAGGAAATCCAGCGCTCAGCAGCCAAGGCAATCATCTGTAGCCATGCAGCAGATTACCACACCACACCAAAAAAAAAAAAAAAGGAGTAGTAAGTAAGTATGTGTCTTACCTCACACTCCACTATTGCAATTCTGTCCAGAAGCTCTGAGATGAACATATCCTTCTGAGCGACTTGAGCTCGCAGTGATTCAACCTTCACAAATTCAAGAAGACAGCAATCAATAGAAATAAGTGATTGTGTGTTTTCAAGCAGATCTTCAGTAATAATGCTTTATTTTATGAGTATGACATTTAAGTTTCCTGGAAATAACTTTATAGTTCTGTGCTAATTACAGGGAAACTAAGAGTGGGGAAAAAGCTTAATTTACAGCAAACTTAATATTCATTTGTTATTGGAAACTTACATATTTACTAGTTTATTGAATAGAGGTGTAGTAATTGAAAACTGTCTCTATTTTCCCTATATGCACAATAAAAATTTATAATTATTTTGGGGAAATTATGCTTGTTGGAGATTATTCAGAAAGATAAATATTGCTGCTGGCAAAAAGAAAATGCACCACCCTTTATTGGCTCTGGGTCCTGATTAAGTTGAATATTCCTTGTGAGCACTGAATTCATGCGTACCCTGGAGCTCTGGTAAATAAACTTCTTGACGAATTGAGCTGACGAATGCATCCACACCCATTATCAAAACACAAAGTAGAGCAGAAGGCCTAAATGCCTGTGACGGGACAGTTTCACACACAGATAAATAAACCCTCCTCACCTCTTCGATCATTCCTTTGACTTTCCTCTGCTGGCAGAACACCATGTCGTTCAAGTGTTTGATTCTCTCCCGGAGGTCCACTGCTTCACCTTGCAGCTCTTTGGACCTAAACACAACCAGCACATACAGGATAAACTCAGATGAAAAGAGGCTCATCTTGCATGTTCCTGAAACATGCAGCCAAATTGGGAATGCAAACTTCAGAAGGAAAAGGGACTGCAGCACACTGATTGATTTACAGGCATTACAGTAATAGTGCAAACATGGTATTTTTTTTGAAGCATTAAAAGCTTCCTCTTGACACGGGAAATAGTAGTTTGACAAAACAATCCCAACTTGAAGACAAAGAACTTGAGCATCCTCTGATCCAACATCATGACAACTGAGCAAACATCATTGATGGATGAAGAAGAGGTGACATGATTGAGAGCCCACAAAAAAGCTGATAAATTGACCTGATGTTTGTTTTTCTGGACCTTACAATAATTTGTACCTTTTGGCCACAGTTGTATCAGTTTTGTCGGTCAGCTCTATCAAGCGGAGACGCTGTTCACATTCCTGCAGCTTCTTTTGGAGTTGACTCTTCTCCTGTGGAGATTTGACACAACGGTTAAACAAAAATCCTGATTCTCAAAAGATTGTGAAATTCTTGTGTCCACAGTTTTATTTTCTCACAGCAGTATATGCATTCCTTGTTGCTTTCAGGCAGAATTCAAACGTCAAACTGTTAACTGACATAACCTTCCAGACATAGATAAGATCTAATAACAGATCAATCTTGATGTAAATTCAAGTGGTTTTATGTAGGTACCACAGGCAGACATGACAGAAGAACCACAGACTGCTCAAAGTGTACTGTGTATGATGATGTATGGATAAAGGATAAAGATTACAGCATAATGTGTTTATTATTTACATGAAGAATAGTTTGTTTGATATTCATTGCTTGTCTTACCTTTCCCATACAGTCCAGTAGACGCTCCACCTCAATGATCCTCTGGTCCCTCTCTGCAATCTTGGCCTCTGCAGTCCGGATTTTTCTCTCTGCTTCCTCCAGTCGCCTGATGTACTCATCGAGTTGGGCCTGTGTGAGCAGAAAAACATTTTAGTTTAGATGTTGGACTACGTTTGAAACGGCTCATGAAGTTGTCAAGAGTTTTGTCATTTATCAAAATTTTTTGGTGTCACTTAAATTGACGTTGCTTTTCACATCCATAATATTTATATAATTTAAATGTGTCAAAATCAAAAGCATCTGAGGTATCCTGAGTAATCAGCGCACATCCATCACGTTTCTTATGACACATTCAGTTCAAGATTTGGTTTCTATTGGCACTGAAACTGTGTGTGATGTGCTGCGGTGAGAGTAAATGCATAAGCAGTGAAGAATGCAGACCTGTAGGTTTTCAATCTCCTCCCTGTGTTTCCGTTGTTCCTCCAGCAGCTTCTCCTCATACTCCCTCTGTAGCTTTGCTGAGAGCTCCTGCAGCGCCTGAGCGTTGGCCTCCCGCGAAGACTCCACCTGGACAATTCACAGCACAGCACAGCAGAAATTAAGACTGTGCTCAGCTGATTATTCCGTACTGACACCAGAACAGAAGATGAAGATGCAGCTGATGTGCTACTGTACTGCAGTGAGATCATCAGTTATTAGATCTGCTGGATCAAAGCATACTGTTTTATCTACTACTTCTCATATCTTAAATCTTTGAAGCTGGGGTTATTCACTCTCTAATGGAAAGTGACTGAGCTTTTTGTTCAATCATCACACAGACTAGAGCAAAATTCCTTCGATGATCTGTAAAGTTTTTGATTTTTACTTGTGTTTTTACTGTAACCTGCAGTAAATAGAAAACTGGTCAGATATCAGGTGGAGAATAATAATTTCTAAACACATCTTGTCACTTTCCATTGTTAGTGACTCATCAGACCATTTTGCAACCCGCCTGTCACACCGGCTGAATGACCAGAATCTCTGAGTACCTCAATGAGCAGGTTTTCCCACAGTAATGTTTTGAAATGTGTGGATGCACATGTGGGTTCACGTGAATGAGTGAGTGTGAACTTAGTCTGACCTGTAGTCTTAAACTCTGGTTTTCAGCCTGCGCAGCAGCCAGCTCCCTCTCTTTGTCTTTGAGTTTTTCTTCTGTTTTCTCACAGGTGCTCTGCCAATTCTTCGTACTGTCTCTCGTGTCCATTCTGTTCTGACAGTTCTCCAGAAGGGATTTCTGCAAAGGAAGCTTATTTTACTTATCAAGCTGACATTTTCTGTAATGCAGGCACACGCCTGTCATACATAAAATCTCGACAGGTTCAGTTACATTGATTTGTTACCTGCAGGCCGATGTTGGCAGTTATAAGGGAGCTGTTCATCTGATCAAACCTCTCCATGGCCGCCGTCCGGATCCTCACCTCTGACTCCAGACTCCTCCGATGTGAGTTGGCAGTCTGCAGAAACGAATGGTACACTGCTTTTTCAGATTTTTTCACAGCTTCACAGATTGGAGGTTGATGAGGGAGTTGTGAGCAGTCTCATGGTGTTACATATTTCATTACCCTGATTTCCTGTGAAAGCTTCTGCATTGATTGCTGCATTCCTCCAAACTGCCCATACATCCGCTCTCTCACCTTCTCCAGAGAATCTCTCACCTGGATACACACACACACAACATACAGATGTTATCTGCACAGCAGCACACACAGCCTTGCATAGATGACATGATGTTAAAACAATGATGAGTTCACCTAAAGGTGTGGCTGCTTGTTGTGTTAGTCTCCACTCACCTCCCTGATGTACCTCATCTCATCATGAAGGTGATTGACCGTCCACTCTCGCGCCATCACCTCCTGCTGTCTGTCCGAGCCCGTCCTCTGCACTACGGCGTACACTTTGGGCCCATGATGCTGCAGCGAGGACTCTGGCACCCCATTGGTCATGTCTCCGAGGTGCTGAGGGAGACAGGATCGCACCGGTCAGGTTTCTGTAGCCACCCTCCACTGAGGCTGACTAAGACTGTCATTGTGTTTGTGTATTTGTGTGCATGCTTGTGTGCAGACATGCACACTTGCAGGTGGATCACGTGTTTGTGTGCGGATGCATATGCTTGCATATGTACACTTGATCAGGTATTTCCAGCACTACTGCTGCTGAGCACTGGAAACCGGAGGTTGGGAAAGAAGGGCTAGAAAAAGTGCAGGGTGTATTGAAGGTGTCGTGTTTCTGCAACCCAGTACATGAGCTGCTGCCATTTCTGACTATTGTACCTCTAACAGCCAGGCCACCAATGAAAACAGACACACAGCAGCACAGGAGCAGCACAGCACTGTAGACAATGCAATAACTAAATAACAAATGACAATCGTAGTCATGGACGCAGATTAATTACTCAAGTGCAGCTTAGGGATTCAGTCTCTATAAATATTTCAGATGTACTACAAGAAGCAAAGCGATCTAAGGCTGCAACTAACACTCATCGCTTATCGATTACTCAGTATATGATTTTCCTGATTGATCGATACCTCATTTGGACTATGAAATGTCAGAAAAAATACTCATCACAATTTCCTAAAGCCCAAACTGACTTATTCATATTGCTCGGTGTATACTGAGATTACCATCAGAGGAGACAAAGAAAACTAAAGTAAATATATTTGAGGAGCAGGAACCAGATCACTCTTGGCAGTTTTGCTTAAAATATATCTTAAATGGTAAATAAGTTTTTTATAATTTGTTTCCACTTAATTTTCAACTAATCAATTAATTGTCTAATCGTTTCAGCTCTAATATCTAATCCTAGATATTTACAGTAATCTCCCATGATTCAGCTCATCTTGTTGTGTCTCTTCTAACTCAGAGGAAGACAAAACATTTTACTAAACCAATGAGGATGAATGTGTTGGTCTCCTTCAAATTTAAACAGATACACCTGAGACATGGAACTTGTCACCCTCCAGCATCTGTTCGTGCTGAATATCTATGAAGACATTATTAATGACAGCCTGTGAGTGCATGCACAGAGACGTGTTGTACAGAGGGATGTCAGTGACACACATGCGTCGCAGTGTCATGACTATTATTCATGTGGTGGATGTGGCTGTCTACCTGCTGAGGTGACTCCCTGCCAGCTGGCCTCTCTCTTTGGATCAGCCCATTCTTCTTCTTCCACACCCCATTGACATCTTTTCTTGCCTCAGCCTGCAAAAAGAAAAAAAAACAACAAGAACAACAAATATTTACGTAAGACTGGCGTTGTGAATGATTCACTTCATTTGACTGTGTTGACACTCTAAAGTTCGAAATGGTTCAGATTACATAAGTATTATTATTTAGTGCAAACATTGCTCCACTGCCACCTTCTAATTAGCCAAGTTTCTGTTGCAGTAAAGGAGACTACACTGTCATTGTTTCTGGTCACATGTAGCCAAGACTCTGTAAACTCTGTGTTATCTCACTGTATTATCTTCCTTTTTCTTCACATCAACACTGTTTTGGCGCCCTCCTTGTATCGTACAGTCATTTTGCATAGTTTTCTAATTGTATGTGAAGATTATGTTTTGTATGTGGTGTATGGAAACTTCATAGTTTTCATTTACTGTAATTTGTGTGTGTGTGTGTGTGTGTGTGTGTGTGTGTGTGTGTGTGTGTGTGTGTGTGTGTGTGTGCATCCAAGAAGTGCTATATGACCTACGATTTATCACTTACTATAATCCCATGATTCCCCACGACAATGATGACTTACTGTAATTTTTTTATATATCATCTTGTTGTGGGTGTGATCACCTCTGAAGTAGGAGTAACGACATTACAATATTTGTGTGCCTGTTATATAAACAATAATTTTAGATAGATAGATAGATAGATAGATAGATAGATAGATAGATAGATAGATAGATAGATAGATAACCTCTGCTAAATATTCAGACCTATTATCCAGAGAAACAGGCGTCAGCCTCGACATCTTGCAGAGATAAGAGTGAGGAGAAACTAGAACAAAGACGCCAGTGTTGCCTTGTGAACAGAGCTGAGCCTCACATTTCTACACCACTTAATCTACAGAGAACATGCTGTTGAGAAATGGTGAGGGTGGATGGGAGGGAAGAGCAGCCATATTAATGTTGTAACAACAGCAGCCCACTTCTCTGAGAGCTCACAATAACAAAGCTCTATATGTAATGTCCATTCAGATTTGAATTTTACAATGGCAATGTTTGACCACACTGGTGGACAATGTTTACCTGGTGTTGGTGTTTGTAGCTCAAACTTCAGCCGAGTAATCTTGGCAGAAAGAGCACACAGGGTTTCTTTTGTTTTTTTGGCTTGAGGGAAACTGACCTGTTGACACTGACAACCTTGAATCATGCAAACTTGTAAAAAATAACTTAAAGACGTCCCTTTGTCAAACACTTCACTGTCATTTGTTTGTAGCACATGAACTGACCGCTCTATCATATGACTACATTGTGATGGATTCGTCTGATTGGATAAGCTCCTTATTACCAACACAGACATGAGAGTTGTATTTGAAGTCACAACACAAAGACCCTCTCATGTAGTTCATTGGGTTGAATCATCTTCACTTTGAAGAGACTTTCAGCCATTGTGGCGATGAAATCCAATGCTGTAGGTGTAGAAACGTCTATATGTAGCAACTCTGTGTCCTTTAGTCCTCTACGTGTCATGGTGCAGATGTATTTCATCTAATCTAGGTCATAGTCAGTAGTTGGATTGTGTCCATGATGTGTCAGGTTGCAGTACACCCCCTTTCTAATTTCATGGCGAAGAACCACTTTAACCAGTGTTTCTACTGAAACATATTATCTCTGGATATCTCAGACAGAGGATGTATCAGTCAGTTCCTTCCCTCTTGATTCACTTTGTGCCTTCCCTTTTTTTTTCTTTTTTTCTTTTTTAACTTTTTTCATCACAAAATCCAAGTGACCTACATTTGACCTTCCCTAAAGATTACATCTGAGATCAAAGATTGAGCAGCTTCTGTGAAAACATGTCTAAAAAAGGTCACGGACGCTCGGTGAGCAGATAAATGTAATAACAAAAAACCGGACTGTCAAATCAACCTTGTTTAACACTGCCAGTTTTAAACACTGTATGAGTATTTGACCTGAATCTTTTCACAAGTACAGCAGCACCTGCACTCTGAGTTCAGTGCTAAATACACAATGAGTCTAGATGAAGAGGACACAGAGGTGAGTTTTTAACCTCCTGAACCCTGATATTCCTCTTCAAATTCTCCTGAAGCGGCTTTTTTCCACTGTGTCCCACAGTTTCAAATTATGCACCAGCTTGTTTTAGCACTTCAGTGAATAGGTTGTACTTGTCTTTTGCATCATTTTGTGCAGATTTTCATGTGAAACATTTTGTAACTTTTGGATTTTACAGCAATAGTTCAACACTTTGGGAAATACAGTCTTTTTTTTTTCTTTTTCTTTTTTGTGAATTAGCTGTGTGGTAATTATATAGCCACAGCCAGCAGCCGGTTAGCCTAGCTTAGCATAAAGACTAGAAACAGGGAAACCAACCTGTCAAATGTTCTTTTTTTGTTTATTCATTCATTTATTTATGTATTTAGTATAAAACAAGCAAGATGTGTTAATAAGTGAGGTTGACAGGTGCTGGTTGTTTGATTTGTTGCCTTGACAGAGCGAAACCAGCCTGGCTGTTTCTCCCCTGTATGTTTGTGCTAAGCTACGCTAACTAGCTGCTGGTTGTATTTACTTTACAGATGTGACTGAGGCATTAATCCTCTCATGTAACCCTTGGCAAGAAAGCAATTATGCAAATTTCCAAAAAATTTTTATTCATCTAAGGTTAATGTACCATTTTTATTTACTCTTTTCATTTCCTCCTGTTCTTTTCATTCAGGTGGCTAATTGTCTGTAGAAACTTCCACTTTGAGCAGCTGATATCTGCCCACAGACACACTGGCGGCACAGTTGCATGGGTGCGGAGTTACATCTTCAGTAAACACACACTGAAGTACACGTCACCACCGAGCACATGTGTGTTACTCCCCACTTTGTGTTCACTCTTGACCAGACTGTCCTCTGTCATCAGTTTCAATAGTCGTGGTCACACCCTCCCAAAGGGAAGCACATTCAGAGATTAGCGCAGCGTGCTATCAGCAGGAGTTTGTGGAGGTGTGATAACTTGACGAAAACCATGCTCCTTGGCCAAGGTTCATACAAAACATGCCACCACGACTAGAAACCTCCTTGGGGCCAACAGTAAGTAAAACATCGCACTCAGTTCTCACACTCTCGCTGTTAAACTCTGGCATCAAGCTCTGGATCCTTAACACAAACAAAACCCGGGGCTGAGCCACCTACAGCAAACACCCACACAGCCTGCAGCGTAGACTCACAATCATAATTCACATGGTCACAATGTGCAGCAACAGACACGGATACTGCCTGAGTGTCATTCTTCACTCCACTGAGCAAGAGCCAATTTAATGAGCTATGTTTGTGTAGTTACTAGAGTTTGAGTTACTGTTTCAACCAAGCTGTCAGGTGTCTCAGTGAGACATCAAATGTGATGTCTGTTCAGCAAAAGCATTTTAAATATTTTCTAGTGTATGGACTAGATTTACAATGCAGAGTCAGAGCTGAGCTTTGAAGAAAATTTGAAACAGCTGTGTGCACATTACCACGCGCACACACCCTCCTGTCATGATTGTGTAACTGGACCAGATGATAAATAAACCCATAAATCTCAGCAGCTCCACAATCTTTCTTCTTAGGTATCATATATAATAAATTAATGTTGCATTTTCCGTTCTTATCATTCTCCCGCATCACTATCAGATATTGACAGTGCCTGGGTGTGTGTGGTTGTACGATTATAGTTAGAGAGAGACACACAATTCAGTTGGTTTGTTTAGACAACTTCAGTTCACCAAATGGACATACAAGGTTTAACTCTATTCATTACACCTCTACCTATCTAAATATGGCTGTCAAGCAGGATTTATAGGGAGGACGCAGCTTGACTAATTATAGAATTTCAATGAGAGGGAGAAGAACGACTTACGGTGTCTGAGTTGTCCGTTTTGGCCTTGTTGTTTCCATCATCTCCTGCATGTAGAGTTAACCTGAGGCGTCTGATCCTCCTCTAAGAAAAATAAACAAGCCAACAAAAGGGAAATAAATTATGTTATGCAAGCACATTCATTTCTGTGAAACGTTACTATGAGAAAAAGATTGAATAGTTTTCATTATAACATCCCTGAAACTGAGACACTGAATGGTTACAAATCTCACAGACCCCAACAGTCCACCACCATGGGTTTATTTATAGAAAATAACAACAGAACTGCAAACAAATTTCATGTAAATGCTCTGAAACTGTGCCACTGAGACATTCGCTGGAATATTTACACTACACTTGGTGCTTTGTTTGGTTGTGTAGTAAACAAGATTTTTTCTTTTTTCTTTTTTTTTTACAGTTAAACATATTTAAAGGTTTTAATTTAAGACATTATCCTTAAAAAAAGTACTGCAGTAGTGTACTCATATCAAACACAGTTTTGAAAATATTTATAGGCTTTTTCTTCATTTACAAACAATGGGAATAACTTTAAAAGCTGGTGTAGTACAAAGGCCTGTTTTATCAGAGAGCTGTTCAAATAAACATGACAGTCCTCTCTCCTGCACACTCAGCTCCCATTGCAAGCTCTTGTAAGTGAACACATAACCAACATGAACTTTTAGAGGATTGGGGAATAGAAAATGTTAGGTGGGACTGAGAAAATGTATGTCAAACAAGAAACAAGTGGCTACTAAGTGAAAGCAACAGGGGACAAACAGAGGAGGGAGGAAAAAACACTGAGCTGTTTGCAAAACACTGAGGAGAAGGAGGAGAGACAAGGGGAGAGACAGAGGGAGCTTTTCGGTGTCCTGACTTCTCTGGGACTTCTTACCTCACTTGAAGACTCTGGAGAGTCCTCTGTTGTTGTGGTGGTGGTGGTGGTGGTGGAAGCAGTTCGTCCTGAACCGTAGCGAAGCATGTCTCCTCTTCTGTCCACTCCTCACTTCTCTTCCTCTCCCTCTCTCTGGCCCCCCTCCCACCCTTTCCTCTCACTCTCCTTCCTGAGTTCTGCTCAAAGTCTCAGTGCGACCATCTGCCCCCGGCTCCAGCCAGGGAAGAGGAGGGAAATTCCACTCTCTGTCAAGCCCAGTGGTGGTGAATGGTGGGAGTCCACAGGGGCCCCAAGGTGCCCTGTCAAGTCAGGGAAATGACCAGGTGCAATCCAGCTCCGCACTCAGCAACGCAATCACAAATATGTCATTGTCCTTCCAGCCAGACTCTTCCTTAATCCACCAGCCTGCCAGAGTTGTCAGTCACTCAGCAACCTCCCTGCCTGTCTCTCTGACGGTAACTGTGTTTCTCTGTATTCCCATCAGACCTGTCGGGCCACATTTCACCTGCCTCCCTAGTCCGTGCCTCTTTCACAGGGCGGGTCCTCTCACTGGGGCTGGGACAGGTGGAGCAATTGTTATCAACAGGAGTGGCTAATAGGCGGAACCACCACTCACTCACAGAAGAGGAGTTTGACATTATCTTCCTGTTATGGCTATGCATGATATAACTACTTGGTCTAAGTCACTGTTACAAGCAGTAGCTCTATGTTTTTTTGTTCTTTTATCAAAAACTTGCTTCAAGTAAGTAAATACATAAACAGATTTAAGCTCCAAAGACTATATAAAATAGTTCAAATGAGCTCCACCTTGACCAAATACAATGTTTATACCTCTTACATATTAATGCATCAATAATAACAATCCAATTATATAATTATGTAGAAATTAGATCGTTGATGATTTTTATAAAATCAAAAACTTTGAATGCAGGACTTTTATTTGTAATGGAGAATTTAGTCTAAAATTTTTCAGAATTAGTCTAAAATTGCAACTTTTACTGAAGTATTTGAGAGCGGTTAAAGTCTGAAATAGGTTTATACTGCAGCTACAGGAGGCGTCTCAGATTCTACAGGAGTTGCTATAGCCAATAAATTATTGATACTGTTGATAGTTGATAGTGATGAAAAGGAAAACAGCACGGCAACCATTATTTTTTAATGCTACTGCTACTTTCTGCCTCACAACTACACTATCACTTGATTTTACACAATGGATTTATGCTCATCAGTTTATACTTACTCATTCTGTCAAATATCTTGCAGGAGCCAACAGACATTCATCATGACAGCCAGATCACATTCCTCATATGAATGGCCTGCAGTCACTCCCTTTTAATAGAAACTAGAGACGCAGAGTCACAGAGGAACGACAGAATCAAGTGTCTCGCAAGAGCTTGTTCAGCATCATTTTTCAACAAAGATTTGCTGTTAGTTAACGTCAAAACACGTCAGTAAATATGAAGAGAAAAAACTCTCAGAACAACATAAGAGCCATTTCTATGGGACCGAGTGGTTAATCAGTAACCAGACATCAAACAAATGGAGTTTCTTTTGCTTCTGCAATCAGTGAGCAAGTCTCTCAGCCGGGCCTCTGTCAAATCCAGTTTCATGTAGAAACCCACTGCCATAAACAAACATAACAGTACATATGTCACTGCCTGTTGTGATTGCACTCTCGCTATTCTTGTGATCAGATCTTGATTCAGCATTAGATTTAATGAACCATATGGCTGGTCATACAAGAACAACCAGATTTACACGGAGCACATATGACTGAAAAAAAACAAACCTCAGGGGCTTTTCTTCTTAACAAAGCATCTGTGTGTCGACAAGAAGATGAGCAACATGTAATGTAATTAATCAAGGAAATAATCAGCAATGACAATAATTATTAGTTGCAGCTCTATATAAAATAAATTATCTCCACCTCAAGCAGCTACCACAGTAAATGCAGTAAAAACACATTAATTAATTCATTAATTAATTAATGAATCAATTAATAACTACTTTTATTCAAGTTATACTACATTTTCAATGCAGGACTTATGGCTTACTTGTAATGGGGTGTTTTTGCTGTGTGGTAAAGCATCTGAATACTAATTCTCACTGGAAGACGGTGATAATTAAGGGTTCATGTTGTCCGGGCAATAATAGCCTATTGTTTGTTGCTGTTTGCAGGTTACAGTACAGGTGTTTAATATTCCCTCCTGTGTGGGAACAGTTGCTTAAGAGGGATTTTGCTGTGGAAACCAACAAGACTTGCTGTTGTCTGCTCAGCTGTGGAAATTAGGTTGACCTGTCTTTTAGTGATTGGTTGACAGAAAGTTGCCAGTATAGCTGCTGACAGACAAATGTGCTGTCTGTGATAAAATGGCACAGCCTCACAATGCTGCACTGTTTTCAGAAATGTGCTGCAAACTTAAAAAGCCCTTAACAGATAGAGTGTGCATGCACTGTTTTTGGAGTTGGCTCTGGTTGTGCTATTGTTACTTTTACTTAAGTCAGAGATCTCAATACTCCCTCTGACACAGGCGCTGGACATGTATTGGCACAAGATATTAGTTCGATTGTGAAATGAAATATTTTTACTGGGGCTACCAGGTAACAAAGGAACCTAGATCTAAGCTGCTGGACAAGCTTAATTTCTTAGCAATGTGAATAAAACTTCAACTGTAACACAACGGTATAAACACATTTTTAGAATTTTTCCAATGGAAGGGCTCAGGGCCAAAACAAAAAGACATGACAACTGTTTTACAGATCGATAACAGCTGATAAATCTCTTATTCCAAAAGGGGAGGGGCACATTGGACTCAGGGGTTTGCTGATGTTTCTGTGGATGTGGCTGAGTGATAGTGTCCTTTTTAAGAGCTCAACTGTGAAAAGGATCAATGATTTTGACATAATTCAACATCAACTAGTTTCCAATAATGATACCAATTTATCATATCATATACAATAGATAATTATATGACACTCAGAAATCAGTGTTTTGGCACAATGAATGCTTTTACTTTTGATACTTTAAGTACATTTAGCCAATAATACAACTATACTTTTATATGAAATAATATTTTGAATGCAGGACTTAGAGTATTTTTTGACTGTGGCATTGTGAACAATCTGAATACTTCTTCCAGTGAATCCTAACACAAAACCTGAAAGCAGGTTCGTCCTGCTGTGCTGAGGCATTCAATGCCTGAGGCGTCCACCAATTGTTTAGTTTAGTGTTTCTGAACTGAGTAATGTTATTAGTTATGCTGAAAACAGAAACACAATCAAACTGTGTGGGTGTTGGTCTAAGAATAAGCACAAAAATGTGACTAGTAAATCCAGAGGACAGTTAAGACCATATAGCATATAAAATACAAATAGGTCTTCCACCTTATCTATATGCAATTCAGTAAGCCAGCCATAAATCATAATCACTCATTAAAGTATTTTAACGAGTCATCTTCAAGATGGAAGTATTTGGGAGTTAAATTGGCTGCTGGTGTGGGAACCTTCCCCCTTTATGTACCTCTGGGTCTGCAGAGCCCTGACAGCTCCACTCGGTGATGACAAAAACCAGCCCCCCCACTCCCACATCACGAGCCATTAGCTGTTTACTTCTTCATTATCAATCCTCATACCTGCAGAAAAGTGGTGGAACACAGAAAAAGGCATGACTTTGCATTGATCGTGACCACTTTTTTCTACACCAGTTTACTCAAACACCACAAATCCTCATCATTTTTCTCAGCTCAGTTTACTGGCCAATGAATATTTAGATATTAAATTTCTATTTTTATTCATCATCTATCACCTCTTAGTTTTATAAAAATCTTTATCACAGACAAAACTGTGAAACTTGGCCTTGTTACCATTATTGCAGCTAGGGGGCAGCATGGTACTGTGATATTTTCACAAAAAAAACCAAGATCTCAAGCTGTTTTTATTCTTTCGGTCCACCTACACTGAGCACCAGAGCTGTAAGACTTGTAATACTTGTATGTTTTCTATTTACAGCTGTGAAACAGAGAGCTCTGTGTGAAAAAGAGAAGCTGCTCACATCTTTAAATCTACCTCTTCACATCAGAAAAGACTCACAGTTCCCTCCAACATCTCTCTCCCTCTCTCTCTCTTTCTCTCTCTCTCTCAGCTGTCTACCTCTTTATTTCCCAGCAGTCACTCTGGTTGAAGTCACTCAAGCACATAAAGGAATCCCAAGAATGATCACCTTGTTAAGTATACACAACTTTTCCCTTAAGCCCCTCAGCCTGCAGCCCCTATTAGTTTACTGCTTGGCTTGACACAGAAGAGAGAGAGATAATACTGTGGCACTTGAAAGGTTGATTTGTCTGTTGCACACAGAATAGCAACAAATGAAGGTCATGCCCTGCCAACAATAGCCAGTCAGCCAGTGAGAATAAGAAAGCCTCATCTATTCACCTCCTTTAACTGCAGCAGTCAGCTGTAGATCTGAATGTTAAGAAAGTTTCCAGATTCTTTGGACACTGATCAACAGAGAAATACTCTTTCATATCAAAGTAAAACAGTCCTCTACTAAATTGATTACAAACACATACACTTTTAACCATGAGCTCCTGCTCTACACCAGATGTGCTTTACCCCAGAGACTGAGGGGGTCAAAGCTCTGGGCTGAGAGGTGATCAGACCCACACACAGGATGCATATGCTTCATATGTTCCAGCAGGAAAAATACTGACCTGCTGAGCATGAAATGAAAGATAGAGAGCAGCTATTGACACAGCTGCTTTGACCCTACAGAGATTTTATGTGAGAATAAGTGAAGTCAATGACAGACTGATCAAATCATCTGTCAAAAAAGCTCCTGTACAGTATTGAGCTAATTGTAATTTACATGAGTTTTTCTATTTTCTCCTACTTTATACAGATAATTCAGAGAGAAACATTGTACTTTTATTCCACATTTATGACTTTACCATGTAGATTAACCTTTGCAAAAACGATGCACAAATATTCATCCTGTCAAGTAATTTGTGTCTATTATTCCATCCTTTTTTTTCCAAAAAGGTCCCATATTGAAGTTAGTGAGATTTCCATGTTTTTTTGATTAAAAAGCAGGTCTAGGTTCTATAATAACACTGTGAAAGAATCAAAGCGCTAAGTCCACAGAGAAATGTACACAGCCTGTGTTCAGAAACTTAAATGAGTTGTCAGTACTTCTGTAACTTTATGATGTCACAACAAAGCAGGCACCGCTCAGAGCTAGGGTTAGAGCGCCAGAGAAAAGCCTGAGAGAGAGGATGAGACTTTTGGTACTTACAAATATATTATTTTATGGAGCTCAAAACTTCAAATAAAACACTGGAAAAATGTAAAATATGGGACCTTAGCCATGGTGATGAGATAACATCAACCTGTTTCTATATTTTTTATAGTTTCATGAATTTCCGATCTCTTGTTGTATCACTTGTTGCTAGTTCTTAAAACAAGTTGATTTCTCTCTGAAACATGTTGAAATAATACAACTAGACCGCTGATTTTTCCCCCCTTGAACGAAACAATATGATCAACATATAAATAAATCATCATATAAAATCAGCTACACCCCAATCAGCTAAAAATCCTACATACATGTTAATGCAGATGATAAAAGTCAATGTTTTTTTTGTTTTATTTGCTGATAAAAACCTTTATTCAAGTAAAAATGAATGCAGGAGTTAAAGTCCCCGTCCACTGAAAAAAACCTGTTCTGCTCACTTGGAGGTTTTGAGCTTCACTGTGGAGAAAGTGCATGTGCAGAGTTTGACACTAGAAGGCAGTTTTAAGATTCATCTGCTAAAGGGGAACGCTTCTCTGTAGTTTTATGTCTGGAGGGGATCTTTAAATGTTAAATGTCAGTTGGCAAGAATTATTCACCAGGAAAAAAGCATGTGAGAGTAACTGGAAGTAACTTTATTTTAGTCTCAGCAGGATTTATGAACATATAAATGTGTATAGAGAGGTAGTGGCAGGAATTTGTTTCAATCCACTCTCCCCCTCCGCAGGTGTCAGACTTGGGCATATGCAGAGCCAACAGAGAGTGCAAATCATTATCATCATCATCACAGTGTAGCAAAAAAAATCGATTGTCCATTTATCTCATCTGAAGAAATTCCCTCATTTAGTTAAAGGAGAATTTGAGGAGGTCCAAATATGTTCTTTTACAGGACCTGTAAGGACTTATGTACAGAGTGGCACAATTCAAATACACACAAATGAGGTTAAACAAAAAGACTGTCACCATGTTCAGTATTAACACCGTCCCCATTCAGGACAGAAATCAGCAGAGATAGAAGTTATATGTAAGTGTTTCCAGTATAAAAATGTCTTCAGAGATGAAATGGTTTCGATATTTGTGGCTTTATTCAGTGCTCTAACTGTTAAAAAAAAGTCTAATTCAGAATCAGTAATCAGACATTGATTAAGGCGATGCCACATAATCGCATGAAGCAGCCTTTTCCAGTAAATGTATAGGCAATACTGTGATGTCACTAATATATGAGTAACCTGCTAATTACTAAGCAACTCTGTTGATAACAATTGAATGGAGCGACAGTATTATTGGTCATCAGTAATACAAAACTGTATAAAAATGGATGTGTACAAAGTCCCTCATTTATTGTTCCCTAAAAACCTCACTGAGCCGGGATTTTGTATATTCAACCATGAATAAATAAAAAAATATCCTGACGCTCTTCACTTCATATTTTTGGATTTGATCTTAATTCATTTAAAACAAAAAAGGTAAATATATTTTATTTAACTGAATAATACAAAAAATTATGTTCAGATATTGTATGTAAATTTAACATATTTGATAGGCATAAAAAAGTAAGTGTTAATAACTTGATATTGTTCACAAAGGCAGTTCTGATTGTGTTGTTTTACAGTGCATTAAAGAAGCGTTTTCAAAATTACTAATGCTAGAATAATCATCGACGAGCATTTGTAATCCATTTGTTAACGAAGCAACTGACAATCTTGGACAGGTAAGACTTTGTGTGAGAATGTGCAGTTGCCAAATTAAACGGTATGTACATTTAATTTCTACAGGACAGGATAAAACATCAAAATTTATGATTTCATCCATTAATCTCAGCTGCTCAAATAACAGTGAATTTGTGGACACGAGACAGTACCCAGATTTAACATCCAAGTGAGTTTATGAACTCTGTTGAAGTGTGGATTTTCATATACAATATTTCAAATAATCTCACTTAGCTGGAAAGTTTCTGAATATTGACACTGATCTTTTAGTGTAACATCTAGAGTTTTTCTCCAGCTGTTTGGTCCGACAGTGATGCATATAAAGCAGCTTCATTCTTGACTTAAGAGCTTGTTTACAACGTGAAGGTGGACAAGATGTTGTCCTGACTCGAGGAGCGCTTGTACCCTGAGGATGAGCTGAAGTATGTCTCCCCATCAGTGCTGATGTCGTCATCGTCGTCGTCGTCAAGGTTGTTGAGCAGCGGAGCAGATGTGTTCTTACGCCTGGATGAGACAGAACAATAATATGACTAGGACACTGAGAATGTCTGTGTTATCCTTAAGCTTTTCTTATTTTAAAGCCCTGATCTGTCTGTTATGGACGATTAATTAAGGATAGAGCTGTATGCGTTTACCTGATCTCACTTCGCATCGATTTGAGCTGGCTCTGGAGCTGCTCGTTGGCCTCCTGTTGCTCATCCAGGTCTCTCTGCAGCTTCTTCTTACTGTGCTCCAGTCGGTCGATCTCCTCCTCAGCCTCATCCATCTGCCTCTTCAGGGCCTTTAGACGCAGATTCAGCTTCAAGACAGAAACAACATTGAGTGTGTTAAAATGGTTGAAGATCAACGATTACTTACACTATGTGGCTGAAAGACAGATATTAGATCTTTGCGGAATGGGTGTGTGTTACATACTTGGTCCTTTTGATCCTGTAATGAGTGATGTTCTTCTTCAACTTGCATCATCACTTCTTTAACCTTCCTTTCTAGTCGGCGGTTCACCAGCTGCAGATTGGCATGTTCCCTGTAACACATTCAGTGTGATGGATCATCATACTGCATAAATTTTAAAACACAAATAACTACGAGATGGTTGATCACCTAGAGTCTGATGATAACTCTAACTAATCATTTAAAAGACCCTGTGTAGCTCCCTTACCTACAGATCTGCAAAACATAAATCCATAACTAGCTGTGAAGTCCATCAGTGCTTCAGTATAAACTCTAACATCACTTGAAACCTACAAGTCACTACCTAGGGGTCAACCCCAACCTAATGAACCTCTACTTTTCATTCAAACCTTTCCCTAGAGTTCTTCTCCTCCATCGCCTCACCTCTACTCATCTCTATTCCCAGCTGAAGTTTTCATCTCACCTTTCCTCCCCCTCCAGCCTCTCCTCCAGCTCCTGTATGCGATCCTCCAGCTGGGCTACCAGGCCCTCCTTGTTGGACTTCTGGGAGCCCTCTAGATGAGACACTCTGCCCTTCAGATCTTTATTCTAGAGATCAGAGACAGAAGTAGAGAGGTGCTTAACTGGACTAATGAGAGTTCAAACCATAATCATATCTGTGTGCATAAAATAAAAAATGACATTGACGTGAGGATGGATACAATCAAATGAAAATGGTGAAAAGACATGAATGAATTAAATGACTTGGTGCTTTGAACTGATTTTGTAGAGCAACACTGTGTGTAGTTGTTTTTCCTCCAGACAGGAGAGTGTGTACCTGTCTCTCCAGAGCCATCTTGTCACACTCCAGGTCCTGTCTGCTAGCCCTCTCCTGCAGGAGTTCATTCCTCATCTGCTCCACCTGTCAAGCCGAGTCCAGACACTGTCATTGCTACGCTCCCACACACTCTGATGACAATTATTATCAGGCACTGTCTCACTCACAACAGGAACCGCTGTAGCGCTCCGTGAGTCAAAATGCTAAAGAATAGAAGAGTTAATGCTGAAAGAGCCCTAGTTAATTGGTGAGCTGGATTTTCTTGTTTGGCTGCATTCCACCTATTGTTGAAATTCTCATGTCAACGCTCAGTGACAGGTGGTTGTGAAAAAAAAAAAATCAAAAAAATCAAACACTAGTTTCTGTACAGAATATATGGCTGTGGGTTTTCAAATTTTATACAAATGTTAGTTTATGTGTAAGGTGTGTGTGATTATACAACTTTAAAGGAATAGTTTGTCATTTTGTTTAATACACTTATTCACTTTCTTGTTGAGAGTTGAGATCAATACCTCTCCCATGTCTGTAGGGAAAATATGAATAATAAATCACCACCAGCAGCCTGGCTCTGTCCCAACATAGTAAAAACACCTACCAGCACTAAAACTCACTAATTAACACTAATTTTGTGACCAGACTAGCTGCCTCCCCCTGTATGCAGTCTATATGCTAAGCTAACTGTCTGAGATGAGATAGGAGAGTGGTAGGTATAAAGCTTCATGTAAATCTCTGCAAGAAAGCAGATTTATTTATTATTATTATTATTATTATTTATTTCCCGAAATGTCAAATTATTTCTTTAATACTTATCTGATGTCATTATATATCAACTCACTGCACATTAAATCGCCTCAGAGAGGCCTGACTGCATGAACATGACTGTTTGGTGACAGCCCAGTTCAAAAGAAGAGGAGATGAAAACTAATCGATACAGTGGTGATGGTTCTTTCTTTGTGAGAAGAGCTTAGAATTGGTGATATTTTATGCCAATTAGTGGATGACAGTGGGCTGCTCCGATGAACGATGGCCCCTATAACTGGTGCACCCAGCACAGTGCTTGAGGGAGCTGAATCAGCAGACTGGAACATAGAGCGAAACTAATCTGCTTTGTGAGAGACGGCAGGAGAGGAGAGGGGAGATTACTCTCATTTAGACAGGAGAGGAGCACCTGGTGCCAGGAGAGACGCAGGTGTTCTTCCTGCTGCCTCTGCTGCAACCCCACCACCCCTCCACTCCATAGCCATTCACCACCCCCACCGTGCCTCCCCACAGACATTAGAGCACACACACCAGCACATACCCACATGCATGTGTGTGTGTGTGCACGCACACACACGACTAGCACTCAACCTACTACACTCTGACTGCACAAAGCTCGAGCGTTGCCTTGACAACTGACCTCCGTCTCATGCTGAACCAATGCCACTTTGTCACAATGCCACTCTTCTCTCTCTGCCAGAATTTTTTAAAAAGGGAAACCATTTAAGGAGATTTAAAAACTCTACTCAACCACTCTAAGACTCTCTTGATGTCACTAAATTTTGGTCAGAACCTTTGAATCTGTTTCACTTCCAGACAGAGGGGAACCTGTAACCAAGCCAAATCTTACAGGCCTGCCTTTGGATCTCATAGTTTTACATTTAATATAAAAGAGCTGTAAACGTGCCATCAAACTATGACCACTGGACTACTTGCTACACAAGACATACACATTAGCATAAAATCAGCAGGGTTGCAATAAGAGTGTTATTTCAAAAACTCCAGAACCAACATCCTCCCTCTGATTAGTAAGCACTCTCCCACATACAAACAACAATCCTAAAAGCACATGTACTTTATCTAAATCTTACTCCACAGCTCCTCTGTCAGCAGCTTTATCACAGAGGAAGGAAAAATGGAGCATTTGCTTGCAAGGATATAAAAACTGACTTAAAGCACAAGAGCTGGATTTGTTCTCAAGATGAAGTTACTGAGCGTAATTTCCAAGTGAACTCCACAACCTGAAAACTTGAGACATTTGGCAGCTTGAATATTTTGGCTCGGGTAGTGCATTAAGAAGGGTCTTTTGTGAGTGATGCATGAAAATTGGAGAGACCACGCTGGCAGCCTGCCAATCTGAACGATTATGCAAGATCACCTTACAAAGCAATAACCCGTCCACTTTATCCAGGCCAGAAGTAAAGTGGGAGTGTGGATATTATGTGTAAGGGAACACACACCTGAGAGTGTGTACATTCACCAAAGCACCGATACAACCCATCAACCTGCACATCAATAAGGTGAACTGGCTCTTTCAGGACTATATTTGAGAGCTGAAATTGTTTTGCAGAGGTCAGGTGCTCCTTTCGTTTAGAGATTAGTGGTTGCAGTTATGATGTTAGAGGTGGAAGACAAAGCAACAGGAGATCTGGATATCATTTACAGATTGAGATGGAACAGAGACACGTCTGTGTGAACTAAAGAGAACATGGACAGCAGGTCAGTGACACAAGTGAGCGCTGATAATGAGAATGTGTTGAGTATGTGTGTGTGTGTGTGTGTGCATTTTGTACCTGCTCTCTTCCTCGGTCTATCCTGTCCATCAGCTGGTCTCCACTGTGACGCTCTTCATCCAGGTTCAACTCCAGCTGAGCAATCCTGTCCTGTGCAGTTACATCCATACGGTCAGTAGGTGTTGCCATCTAAATATTTTTTCTATAAGTATTTAGCTTAATCATTTTCTATTAATTAAGTTCTATCCTAAATGATTATCATAATTGTGCAATTATTTGAAATTAATTATAACATCTGCTGGTGGCAAAGCCTTTATCAGTGGCTTTAGTTGACATCATTATGTACCTCCAAGAGCTTGATGTGTCGGGACTTGTCTTCTTTAGTGTGGGCGTTTGCGTCAGCCTCCATCTCCAGTTCATTAACCTTTTTCTCCAGCATCCTCTCCCGGAGCTCAGCCTCGTCTCGTTCCCTCTGACACTGCCGCAGGTCCTCTTCCCGGCGGGACAACTAAAACAAAATGCACCCATACACTTCAACACCTGAAAATTACTGCAACATCACTGCTTGTTGTGAACACATTTTATTGTCCAATATAAATACCTAAACCACATCTTTTTACAGAAAACATTTTATCACACTATTTGATCTGTGAAACTTGTCTAGTAGGAGTTCAGTGTCTCATTAAAAAGACCCTCAGCATGTTATAATTACTTCTGCAGTAAAGGTGGATTAAACCATGCCCTCCTGTTGAAAGTCCATCTCACTGTTCACCTTGCTTCTTATCAAGTATTACCACTGAAGCAGTGACCAACAGTTTAGTTGCTGCTTAGTGAAATTATTATATGGTTCCCCTGAGTGACTAATGAATCCGGCACAGCTAGTGTTTACCTCAGCAGCAGAGCCCCCCCCCCCCAAACTGCTGGAAAACTGGCCCCCACTGCTTAATGCTGAGACAATGAAAATTCATCATCTGCCCTTATTTCTCACCCAGAACAAATATTTGGCCATTAGTGCAGAATTATTGCATATTTCATCTTGTAAATACTTAAGTAAGATCTAATTTAAGCCAAGGAGATAAAGCTGAGCACACAAAGACGAACTAATAAGCGTAATGGGATAATTGCACATTCTCCCTTAAGCCCTGGGTAGCTATAAGCAAGTTTGGAAATTAATTAATTAATTTGTTAATGATTTAATGAAGTCGACCTAGGGAATGAAAATGATTTATCGCTTTTTTTATGCTGCCTTCTTGACCAGATCTCTCTTGAAAAAGATATTTAAACCTATACAAGACTTTTACCTGGTTAAATAAAGGAAAAGAAGAAGGACATATTCAGCCTATTAGTTATTTTAGTTATGGTCTCTCAAGTTCACATGGGTGGAGACCTGCTGAGCATTTAAGAGCAACTGGAAAAGTGGACTCACTAGGCCCAGTTCAGATCAATCAGTTACTCAGGAGAGGCAGAGGAGAAGGATGTGAATCCAGCCAGCACAGCTTTCACAACAATGATATCACAACAATGACATCCTCATCTTCCTGTGCAGCAGCTGGACAAATATGCATGAGCATTGATACAGACAGAAAAAAAAGGAAGAACCTGGATGCTGACCTTGTCCTGTTATACACACTTTACTTACCACCACATGACATGTACAGCTGTAAAATCCGTAAAATTGAGTGGCTGCCGGTTATGCATGACAAACAAAGTATGCAACTAGTGACTACAGGTTCCAGAAGTTAGTTCCTCCCTGAGAAGGAAATGTCTTTTTCACTGCAAAGAAGCCTCAAGCTTAAAATCAAGACATGCCTGTCAAAACCTCTATTAAAAAAGGTACCCAGTGAAGCTTTCATTATAAACAGTCTTGTTTATAAGGTTAGAGTTAGGGTACATTGTGTGTATCCTTAAGGCCTAACAAACATGTTTAATGCATTTCCTATCATAAAACACTCGCATATCCCTTTTTTTTTAAACAGTTGGAAATCGTTAACACTGACTTGTTTACAGTCCCTTCATCTATTTGCACATTGCTGCCTTTTAGGGCATATTACCGCTAATAAACTGTTTCCTCCCTGTGCAGTCAGCAGAAATGTGTCTCACATCACCCGTGTGCTCATTGTGTTTTTGTGCACATGTTAGTAGAACACAAGACACAGAAAATACAGGTACTCAATCATCTAAAGAGTCCAGGAACTCAACAGGGTACCATTGAGTATGGTCTCAGAAATTGCAGGAGTTCTGAAACCAGAGATCTTTAATGTTCTGCTTTCTGCCTGTGTTACATTATATCTCACACCGTCCTTCACTTGACTGTAAAACAGTTTGTGTGGTCACCGTGAATACTTCTCAACTGCCCTACCTTGTTAAATAAATGTTTGACAAATAAATAAAATCAACGTGAGTCACCCCCTTTTTAACATTAATTATCAAGATTCATTTATTTCTACTTTCAACAAAAACATTCTTCACATTCCAAAGAGCTGAAAAGGATAAACTGATTGAATGCAAACAATGCAGGGTGGTCAGAGGCTGTTACATTTTACCATTATGGTGTTAAGGCCACACATTAAAGATCACAGAGGGATTCACCACATTAATTCTACCATTGAGTGTAAACATTCATTTAAATAAAGAACAGAGTTTTTCAATGACTTGACTCAGCTCACTGACTTCACTGACTTCACTTTAATACTATGTTTTGGGTCTGAGAGAAGCGGGGAGCAGAAATACCTAAGTGATGACATCGCTCTCTGAAAAGAGAGGATGATGTGGGTGGGAGTGGTCAAACTGGTTGAGTAGGAACAATGGCTCATCATCTGCCGTTCTGCATGGGAGGACTCAGTTGGCCTGACTAATGATGGCCTTGATTTGACCAGTCTCCCCATGAAAGCAGTGTCAGCATTCAAATCTGTGTTTCCTCTACCAGTGCCCATTATGTTGGATGAGGCTGACGTAGCACACTGTACCTCTTCCTGCAGGGTTTTGGCAGCCAGCAGGTACTTGTCCAGCTCCAGTCCTCGCTCCTTCAGGAGCCTCTGCAGCTCCGTTAGCTCCCGACGGTTCTTCTCTTTATAAATATCAATTTGCTCCTGCAGCTCCCGAGTGGAGGACTGAGACGCCTCCACAATATCATTCATCTAGAGGCACAGAAAGAGAGAGAGAGAGACGAGGCCAAAGAAAAAGAGAGGTGAGAAATGTAGTGAACTGTAATGAGGTTAATGTGGCTCAAGAGTAAGTTTTGGATTTCATATCGTATCAAAACTCAAAACCACATTGACTCATAAGGCACTGAACTGGAATCCTTATGCATCCCTTAATCTTTAATAATAAATTGAAATAATTTAATGGCCATAGACAATAAAGCATCTTCAATCAGTCTTTTACTATTTCCGTCCTGATGAAGACTCTATAAGGTCAAAAACCAGTTGGTGTTTTAAACTAATGTACTAATGTATGAGATTCATTAGCGTCAAAATGAGTTGAATGTGTTTCACCAAAATTGGAAACATTCAACATTCAAATTGAGCCTGACAACCTGAGATAAACTCTACTCATGAGGTTACTGCTGAAATGGGAAGTTACTGTACTACAAACTCAAGAACACCCACCTCCCTCTGAAGTTTCTCCACTGTACGGTCCAGGAGCCTCCTCTCATCCTCTATGTCGTTCTTCATGTTCTTGAACTGCTCCTTCTGAGTTTTCTCTTCTTGTAACCGTTCCTCTAGCTCTTTGTGTTCACAGCTCAGTTTTGTCAAGTTCCTCTATAGAAGAACAGAGTATTAAAGGTGTCAAACCACGCTTGTGCTAGAAACCCCACATTCCTCTACATGCAGTGTAGCACAGCGTTGCTCGTCTCACCTGCACATCCTCCAGCCGCAAGGTCAATGCTCGGTTGGCGCGAGACATCTCCTCTTCTTGCTCCTTAATTTCCGCCAGGGACTCTTCTAATTGCTTCTTCTCTCTCTGTGAAGTGGTCATATAAAACTGTCATATAGTATAACATGCTACAATGGCAGTGTTGAACTGAACCAGCAATGTAATAAAACTAGCTTCATTTGCACTTCTGACTCCCTCTTCATTCATCTTGACCCCTCACCTCCAGTCGGCCAACTCTGTCCCCAAGCCTGCTCTCCTGTAGCTTGGCCTCATCGATGATGCGGTTGAGTTTAGCAACTTCATTTTCGAGCTCCTGTGCCCGCCTGCGCAGCCGCTCGGCCTCTTGGGTCAGCCGTCCTGCTTGGCCCTCCACTGCACCCTTGGCTGCCTCCACTTCAGCTTTCTCACGGACCACTGCTGCGCTGCTCTGCAGATCAGAGCAAGACATAAGGCTTCAGTACAGAGCAAGCAGGAGTCTGTGACACTCAACAGAAAGTGGAACAACAACACATTATGGAACATTTTAGACTCCCTCAAATACCTCATGCAACAAAAAGCTACTTGCAGTGCTGTGGAGACATAGAATAACAATGTCCACCCGTAATTTTCTCACATTTCATAATAAACCAATAAACCAAAATGAAGGGAACTAAATCTTAGCTTTCGTTAGCCTCTGCTTACTGAGGCCACACAAAGTCAGTAGACAATCGAGGGAGATCTGTTAATCTCCTGTGTCACCAGACTCAAAGTTTTTCCACCTGATATACCATATACTGAATATTTCAAGCTTCCTTCATAAACCCAGAATTTCACAGTGTTAGTCTGCACGTGTGGCAGGGACAGAGTTAATGGAGAGTCCAAATTTATGAATGAAGAGTCACAGGGTGGAGTGCTGTGCAGGAGAAAAAACCTGAGACAGACAGAGACGTAAATACATGTCTGTGCGAGAGACGACAGAGACAAAGAAAACTGGCGACAACCACGTGACTCAATCTTTACGACAGATAACAGGTTTCAGTTGCAATGAACCTGCCCAAAATGGCTGCATGAGTAGATAACCGTCTTGCAAAAGTTTGTTTGGAAACAACATTTTTTTGGCACGATGGTGGAATGTTAGAAAACTGGTCCGGCAATTTAATTTTTATGTCAGGACAGTGAAGAATGCAGGCAATTGTACACGTGTGGACATAGAACTAGACGGGACATCTACAAAATCTATAGTTACAATTGCACAATATTACACAGCTGGTTTGCTTATATATTAAAAGGTTATTTAAAAATGTGTCAAAGGTTTAAATAAATTATAAATTTAATGCTGTCTTTCTGTACAGGTAGGTTACTCTCTGTTACTCATCACACACATCGTTGACATCCAAGTATGCCACCGCGTGTGTGTGTGTGTGTGTGTGTGCGCATAAAAGCATGACAGCAGGAACAGACACAGACACAGACACAGACACAGACACACACACACACACACACACACACACACACACACACACACACACACACACACACACACACACCCTTCTGCCTCGAGAAACCAACAGACTGAGTCTTAACCCAGCTGGTGAAACACAGATGAAAAGAGGCACAGAAAAATGAATCAGTACAAACAGTTGAACTAAGGCACTCGTTGGGCAGCTTGTCTTGTCATCATCGACCATTAACATAGTCACCTCCTGAGCTAGAAAAGGTGACGGGTTCCTCCCTGTTTCAGTTCTGGCAGGCCAGTCAGACCTGTTTCGCCTGTCGCCACAGAGCCGCCCTTCTCTGCCTCACTGGGTCCTATAGTTTTGTCAAAGGAGCAAGGAGCCCAGTACAGACTCCATTCTGTCAAAACCAGAAACAACTCTGTTTCATCTCTCAAGAATGAAAAAATGAGAATTAATGATAAAAAAAAAAGCTAAATCAACTAAATCACTACAGCAAACATGCAGATCCTATATATAAGGGAGAGAAAAACATAGATCACACGCATGTATTCTGGGAATGTTTGAAAATGAAGAGTTAACAGTGATATTACAGTATGTACCCAAGACCTTTGTGGAGCTACATCTAGGTCATCTGACACATGAAAATGTAAAACATGAGGACCGACACCTGGTAAAAGTTCACAAGGAAGTAGCGTAAAGAGGAATCCCCTACTCTGAGGAACTGGATGGACATGGTTGAAGAGATATCTGATATGGAAAGATTCACACATAAATCAACAATCGACATTAAATGAAAAAATGGGAAAACTGGACAGCCTATTAAACCCATTGCAAAGAGACCATGAAAACATTCATACAGTGACTGGGTTATATGAAGTGTTATCATTAAGTTATGTACCTCAACGAGACTATTGTTTGCGTTTGTTCTGTAATAATAAGATGCAAATCAATGACATTTAAGTTAAAAAACAAGAGCATAAACTTAATATTAGAAACACCTGTATAGTACAGTACAAGTCCTCAGCAACACAAACTAAAAAATAACCAAACCTCTCTAAAACAGCAAAAACTGTCATCATAATTTCTATGAAGGTAGGACTGATTGCAGGACAGTTGCATTAATATCAAACTAGTTTTAGCATGGTAAACCCTTATAAACTGGCATCTGACTAAGTAAATAAATTTGTGGTTTTCTGGACTGATGCATCTACAGTTTGGGCACAGACGATCTCTTCTCTTGTGTTATGTTACAGCAGCTTCCCCGTGCTGCTTTTAAAATTCATGTGTTAAACTCTTGGTTGGCCAAATCTCTTTTAGAGTTGACATATTCTACTACTTGGTTTTCAACGTAAAATGACCCGAAAGTTGTTATGATAAAGTTCCCTTTGGTTTACCATAACATTTCTACTCATGTAAAGCCTTCAGTAATAAATGTGGTTTCATTGGTTGTACTGTAGGTTGTGTTGATGGTGGAAGTTCTGGAATGAAAAAAAGGGGGTGGGTGGGATGTGGGGCTAAACACAGCTTTCACTACAATAATAAAGCATTGATAGTGTGTGTCAGTGCTCCATTTTAATAACATACACAACAAGTTCAGCCCTTCATACTCCTCTGCCTGTCCCACTTCCCACACTGGGTCATACAAGTTCAAAACAAGACAGAGAGAGGGAGATCCTGCTGCTGTCTGTGAGAGGAAGCAGAAGGGAATACAGTGACTTCAGCCTCTTTTTCATAAGACTTTAATTCCAACAACACTCATTTATGTTGAGTGATTTTAACAGACCGGCATCATGATCTCATGTATATATGTTTCAGCAATGTCTGTGAACTTAAGTGTCAAAACTATAAATGTAATTTACAATAACACGCATGGCGACCATTAATATTTCACATAAGGCTTCACCAACTTGATTCTTTTCTTATTCAATACTGCAAAAAGTTAATCATTCATTAAAAGTGTTAAGGCATTATTAAAGATTATCTAACAATCACTGACAGATTAGCACTAACAAAACAAATCAATTTATCAGCCTTTAGACAATGATTTGTTTAATTTAATACAATTATTTATAACCTCTTTAAATAAACAAATTTAACAAAGAGACTGACAACACAAGCTGACGTCAGTCCAACAGTACAATATCAGTTAAGAATATGTGGTAATATCATACCGCTAGTCCGTTCCTTTTTCCCTCTACCCTCACTCTAAGTTTGACTTGGGTCCTCTTGTGTATTCAAACTGTTTGTCTAAAGTTGCTCATTAACTAACTTTGTGCAGCCTTTGAAGCGCAGCACGAATGCTGAAGTGGAATGTGTGTCCCAGGTCGTGTGCTGTGGTGAAATCTTGGCTCTCTCAGTTATTCCCACCAAATCAGCTTAAACATAATAAGAGCTGGTGGTCTAAAAATAAATACAGCTAAAAATGAACCTGAAACAGATATCCACAACCAAGCAGAGTGTCCATCACTTTCATGTACTGTTCATTCCATATTTGTGAGAACAGTAATATGCATGATTACGTAAATGTCAGCAAGGTTAAGCCCTTTATCAGGTAGAATAGATTCCAGTTCAAAAACACCCTAAAAAAAACTGTATACATAATCGTATATACATTTGAGCTACAAGTAACCAAGTCCAAATGCAACTCTGAGAGAGGAGTACTGAACACCTGATCTTGTCTCAAGCAGTCCTCAAGTCATTGCAGGTGCTATGTGGCCTTGTTAAATATCTTTCAGAATTACTGTAAAACCGACCGAATGTCTCTCCAAATTAAGCCATTTTCCACAAAGGCAGCTGTTAACATGTTGTAATTTCACTCCATTCCTCATTACTGATGTTGCTCTGTATGTGTTTTCTTTTCTTTTTTGAAGACGAACATGTTGCAGGTATTTTCCATATGTTTTCCCACAGTCCACCATCTGGCAAAAACATTTGTTCCACAAAACCCAATAGAATGGTGTACAATATAGTGAAACATGCAGTATACAGGCTGTCAGTATTCCCAGTGATGGTTTGTTTTGTTTATCCTTATTACACATAAATATGTTAATAATTAATTGGTGTTGAAAAGCTTACATTAAAGCAACAATAGCTGGAAGTCCTTCTTGAACTAGAAAAAATATTATTAAGTATGTTGGATGCAACAATCACAACTCTCTCTTACTTCATATCACAATCAAATGCAACAGAAATCGAATCAAGTCCAAAGCATTACACAGCACTACTGGATATGAGAAAATGCATTACAGTCTCTGTTAAATCGCTGATCTTCCAAACAAATAATAAGATAAAAACTTAAACAAGAGTTCCAAAAGGAACTCACATTTCCTCCTTCTATTTCCTGCTCATCCTGTAGTCAGTCTTCACTCATACGCTTCCTGCCTCTCAGTCGTTTCCTCTTTCCTGTGCTGTCAAAGCTGGTCTTATTCACAAATGTCATGTATCACTGATAACTGTCCATTTAACTCTCCTTCTGTGTCCACCTCAACCTCAAGATCACTCCCATTACCTGCAGATAGTACAGCTGATTCAACACAGGAAGCTTAAATATCCACCTTCCGTCTTTGCACCACAACCAGAAAAAATCCTAACTCTGACATTCAAAGGCCTCAAAGCTATGAAGATGTTCCTCATTAATGTTTTAATGGAGTGGACTGAAGTAATCACCAAAATTTTTTTGTTCTGTTTGCAATTTACTTTTCATTGAAATATATGTTAAAATAACCTGCTATGCAAAGATACTAAGATATGCATGGCAGGCTGTAATAAGCCTTTAAAATGAGGTCACCAATCTTGTTTTTCCTTATTGAAGGTTTGATCTTTTGACAAGTGATGTCGCCTTATTTTGCCTATGAACAAATATTTTTGTTGCCTTTGATTGAAAGAGGCTACATTTTTTTCACATGATTTAATCAAATAAAATTGACCAAGGTTGTTCAGAGTACAGGTCATTTCCTGTATGGTATCACATTATCTGAACTTAACCCTCATG